TGTGTGGGCACTTTTCTGGATCAGGATCTTGGTTTTTAAAGCACCTAGAGATTGTCAGATGAAAGAGGAGCTCTGCTCTAAGGATGGGTTTATGCTACAAAAAAACCCTTGTCTTTAAATCTCCCACTGGTGCAGCTGCACAGCAGGAGTGTAGCATGTGTGGAGCTTGGGAGGCCAATGGTTGTAAAACTTCAATGGGACTGAACAAATAGGTAAAGTTAAGCATGTTCATGCATGTTTGCAGGATCTACCCATTAGGTCTGCATCCTGAAATATTCTCTGAAAGGGTGGCCCCCTGTGTCCATGCAGAGCCCCATTGACTTCCACATACCTGCCAAAGTCTTCCTGCCTGTATCTTATTGCACGATTAGGCCATAGTTTGTACCCCTGTTTACCTTGACTATAAACTGTAAGATCAATTTGAATGAGAAATTCCTATGAACTTATTCAGTATTCTGATGCTTCCCCCCCACACACCCCCTCATCACAAATACAGCTTTAGTTCTGTCCCATGGGCCATGTACAGCATTCTAGCTGCAGTGTTGCCTTTGAAAATTGCCTGGCATCTTTTTGGAAACACTGTAATTACAATTTTAATGCACAAGCTGGCTTTGTCCATTTATAGTATTACGGTTTCCAATAATATCCCTGATGATCTCATGGAAGAAAAAACAGTAATGAAAAAGATGCTTGGGTTTGCTTCAGCTGACATGAACAGTAAGTTCTCTCTGATCTTTCTTTTTCTCTCCTCCCCACCCTCAAAAATGCTTAGGGAAAAATGATATACTCTGATCTGCCCATGTTGGAGAGAGCCACATTTTGGAGAACAGATTTTTTTCCTTAAAATGATAATATCCTTTGAAGATCTTAAAGGGCCACATTCTCCTATAGTTATTTTAAAGGGACAGTCTCAGCTTAAAATCTAATTAGTTTCAAGTAATGAATTTATGGTCGTTTCAGAACTATACTATCCCTGAGTCCCCCTGCCAATTTTTGTGACTTCACAGTTATTTACTTATTTTTAAAATGTTTTTCCTCTCCTTTCTTGTTGTGTGAAAGACTCCTGCAAAAAATAGAGAAAAGCAACTCTGGCCCAGATCCTGCAAGCTGATCTGCACGGATGGATCTTTGTGCTCACACGGAACCTCAGTGATTTCAGGGGTTCCACACTGACACAAATGTCCGCCTACATGGCTCGGCGCTAATTTGGTATAAGTGAAGTGCTGTCATGGACACAATAAATAAATGAAAACAGAGGATACACATTTTTTCCCCTCAGATGATCTCTTTCAGCTATAGTAGTCTAAGGTATTACATGTAACCAAAGTAAATGTAATATTTTCAAAAAAAAAAAAATTGGCTATTAACTGTTCACCTTGTTTCCTTTACATAATAAAATGTATCAGAGACAAATGAGTTTTAAAAAGAAAAATTTGACAGATTTGTTAAGCTAAATGTACGTCTATGCCCACTGTAAGAAACTCTTACTACTGTAGCCCTTATTTTCCTGGCACATTCCTCTACCCATTCTTTGTTATCCTCTCATTATATCGCATCTTCAGCTAAGATCCAATCCTGTACATAAGTTGAACATTTGAACATAAGTAGGATCAGGACTTTAGGCTTTAAGTCCTTCATAAGAATCATAGAATCATAGAATATCAGGGTTGGAAGGGACCTCAGGAGGTCATCTAGTCCAACCCCCCTGCTCAAAGCAGGACCAATCCCCAACTAAATCATCCCAGCCAGGGCTTTGTCAAGCCTGACCTTAAAAACTTCTAAGGAAAGAGATTCCACCACCTCCCTAGGTAACGCATTCCAGTGTTTCACCACCCTCCTAGTGAAAAAGTTTTTCCTAATATCCAACCTAAACCTCCCCCACTGCAACTTGAGACCATTACTCCTTGTTCTGACATCTGCTACCACTGAGAACAGTCTTTGGAACACCCTTTCAGGTAGTTGAAAGCAGCTATCAAATCCCCCCTCATTCTTCTCTTCCGCAGACTAAACAATCGCAGTTCCCTCAGCCTCTCCTCATAAGCCATGTGTTCCAGTCCCCTAATCATTTTTGTTGCCCTCTGCTGGACGTTTTCCAATTTTTCCACATCCTTCTTGTAGTGGCCCCTATGTGGGGCCCAAAACTGGACACTGTACTCCAGATGAGGCCTCACCAATGTCAAATAGAGGGGAACGATCACATCCCTCGATCTGCTGGCAATGCCCCTACTTATACATCCCAAATGCCATTGGTCTTCTTGGCAAAAACGGCACACTGTTGACTCATATCCAGCTTCTCGTCCACTGTAACCCCTAGGTCCTTTTCTGCAGAGCTGCTGCCTAGCCATTCGGTCCCTAGTCTGTAGCGGTGCATGGGATTCTTCCGTCCTAAGTGCAGGACTCTGCACTTGTCCTTGTTGAACCTCATCAGATTTCTTTTGGCCCAATCCTCTAATTTGTCTAGGTCCCTCTGTATCCTATCCCTACCCTCCAGCGTATCTACGTATCCTCCCAGTTTAGTGTCATCTGCAAACTTGCTGAGGGTGCAATCCACGCCATCCTCCAGATCATTAATGAAGATATTGAACAAAACCGGCCTGAGGACCGACCCTTGGGGCACTCCACTTGATACCGGCTGCCAACTAGACATGGAGCCATTGATCACTACCCATTGAGCCCGACAATCTAGCCAGCTTTCTGTCCACCTTATAGTCCGCTCATCCAGCCCATACTTCTTTAACTTGCTGGCAAGAATACTGTGAGAGACTGTGTCAAAAGCTTTGCTAAAGTCAAGGAACAACACGTCCACTGCTTTCCCCTCATCCACAGAGCCAGTTATCTCATGATAGAAGGCAATTAGATTAGTCAGGCATGACTTGCCCTTGGTGAATCCATGCTGACTGTTTCTGATCACTTTCCCCTCCTCTAAGTGCTTCAGAATTGATTTCTTGAGGACCTGCTCCATGATTTTTCCAGGGACTGAGGTGAGGTTGACTGACCTGTAGTTCCCAGGATCCTCCTCCTTCCCTTTTTTAAAGATGGGCACTACATTAGCCTTTTTCCAGTCATCCGGGATCTCCCCCGATTGCCATGAGTTTTCAAAGATAATGGCCAATGGCTCTGCAATCACATCCGCCAACTCCTTTAGCACTCTTGGATGCAGCGCATCCGGCCCCATGGACTTGTGCTCGTCCAGCTTTTCTAAATAGTCCCGAACCACTTCTTTCTCCACAGAGGGCTGGTCACCTCCTCCCCATGCTGTGCTGCCCAGTGCAGTCGTCTGGGAGCTGACCTAGTTCGTGAAGACAGAGGCAAAAAAAGTTTTGAGTACATTAGCTTTTTCCGCATCCTCTGTCACTAGGTTGCCTCCCTCATTCAGTAAGGGGCCCACACTTTCCTTGACTTTCTTCTTGTTGCTAACATACCTGAAGAAACCCTTCTTGTTACTCTTAACATCTCTTGCTAGTTGCAACTCCAAGTGTGATTTGGCCTTCCTGATTTCACTCCTGCATGCCCGAGCAATATTTTTATACTCTTCCCTGGTCATTTGTCCAATCTTCCACTTCTTGTAAGCTTCTTTTTTGTGTTTAAGATCAGCAAGGATTTCACTGTTCAGCCAAGCTGGTCGCCTGCCATATTTACTATTCTTTCTACACATCCGGATGGTTTGTCCCTGTAACCTCAATTTGTTACATTTGAATCTCATTTGTTTTTATTGTTCCATTCCTGTAAAGAAACTAACATACTTTTGGATGCTGTAAAAATAATAGATCATTTTTACAGCACCAAAAGACCATTTTGCACTTTACAGATGGAAGTATAGACGTATTTCTCACTGTTGCTGGAATATTTCTGCATATCTATTAGTGATAGCACCAAGAGGAGCATTAGTATAGATCAGTTGCCATTGCATAAAGCATTCTCATCCCGTGCTGCCCATGCTAGCTCTGACTCTAGAAGATGCAGTACTTACAACTTTGATGGCCACCAGCAACCTGTGTATACTAGCATTTCCACTGTTGCTACTACTGCTAGTGCAATCACAGGACATTTTAAGAAAAATGCTACTGTAGATAAATAGTAAGAAGACATGGGCTAAACCTGAGCTAGGGGCCCTGTACAAGTGCACATTGTTAATCCAGGCCTGATTTCTGTGGGTACAGTTGCACCCACAGCATGGACCCAAGATAAAGCTGCCCCAGGTGAAACTTTAAAAAGTGCCAAAGTCCCAATGACTTTAAGTGAGTGTTGGACTCCCTTTTGAAAATGGGATTTAGGTTCATTAGTCACGTTAGCACTTTTGAAATTTTATCCTCAGGTGCCTCTCCCAAAGAGTCTGTGGCTTCAATTTTGCAAACAGGCATGAGCTTAACTTTGCACACATGAACAGTCTCTTGGAGGTCAGTGGAACTTTTCACATGCCTAAAGTTAAGCACCTCTGCAGGATCAGGGCCAATGTGACTGAGCAATGAAGTTTAACACACATCTTGTTACGGTTCTGTAGTCTTGGATATTCTGTGGTTTGGATTTTTTTTTTAATATATATGTATTTTTGTCAGCCAGTTGAATATGGCTTTGAGGGGAGGGTTTAGATGTCTCCTGGAAGAAAACTGTTTTAATCAGGAGAGGATGTGGGCATGGAGGGTTAGGATAGGGAGTGGACTTCAGCATAGGGAGAAAGCAAGGAGGTCTGCCAAAAGCTCACACACTGAGCTCATTTGTTTGGGTATTAATTTTAAGGCAGCTTATACCCGTTCGGAAGAGCTTTGCGGTGCGTTTTGAGTCAGACAAATGCAATTTCACCCATTCACATTGTCCCTGCCTGACAGCTCTCTAGCTCAAGTGCTTGTAACAACAGTAGCAAGTAAGCAGGCAGGCACTGAGCAAACTCATTCCTTATTTCAGTGCCAAGCTCTCTCTCCACCTTTAGGGGGGGGGGGGGTTCTTTACCGGTGTTACCAGTTTTTCTAGCCTTGCCTTTGAATAGCAGCAGCACTGGGGTGAGTCAGTGTTTGGAAATGGAGTGGGCGGGCGTGTGTCAGTGTGTAAGAGAATTAATGATGTCAGGCAAGATCCAGGCTCGCGGGGGGGGAAGCAAAGAGCATGAAACTGAGTGTAAACACAGCAGTAGCACGCAGAGAAAGCTGCCTCGAGTTTACCCCCGCCCTCCCTTCTGCCTGGAGCCGCCCTCTATCAGGAGAGCTTCTCCAGCTGTAGCATTGCTGAGGTAACGGTGCATACGGATCTGGCAATCATTTCAAGGAAACCTTACTAAGAAGTGTCGCCTTCCCCATCGCCCTTAAGGCCAGTCCCTGTTGCCAGGAAGGAGAAGAGAATTGCAGGGGAAGATAAAGGTGTGGGCAAACTTTTCTAGCTGCTTTTTGCTTCAGCTACCACCCCAGAAGTGGGAGTGTCTGTGTCTTTGGCCATAAAGAGCTGCAAAGCCCAAATGTCAAAGAGTCCTGAGGCTACAAAGGAGACTTCTCTGCTGCCTTTGGAGGAGGAACCACCTTCAGCTCCAGTGTTTCCATATACAACTAAGTGGGTATGTTGAATGACACATATCAATACAACTTTGTATTCTGCAGAGTAAGGATGGGAATGATGGAATGTGGCTTGTTACCGACGTGTACCACGACAGCCTGAGTATTTCACGTAAGATGTCCAAAACTAGATGGGCAGAGTACTAGAAATGCAACTGTAGAGAGCAATCCTGCATTGGCAAGGTAATCTAATAGGTCTCTTCCATTTCTAACATGATTTATTAATTTCTTTTACAGACTGTTCACTTCCCTGCTTTTGCCTCTGCCAAATAATTTTTACTTAAAAAAAAAAACTGTTACATTATTTTCCCCCCTGTCAAAGAAAGTGTATGAGTGATACTATAGGCTGCTTTCAGAGTAGCAGCCGTGTTAGTCTGTATCCGCAAAAAGAACAGGTACTTGTGGCACCTTAGAGACTAACAAATTTATTTGAGCATAAGCTTAGGTGAGCTACAGCTCACTTCATCAGATGCATAGGCTGCTTTGTTTGTCTTGTAAATATCTATTTAATGTGGGGAACATATTTATGTATCTTTTAAAATGTACATTCGTTACCCAAGAGTTATAATGGGACCCTCTGGAGCTGTGCTACGTGCATATTTGAGCAATGGTGTGTAAGAACTTTTAAATGTTTGAACTTTTTAAAATGTTTGTACATTCTAGACCACAGTGGCTTTGTAAAAGTCAGCTTCTTGCTCCTATTGATGCTGATAGGAGTCTTGCCATTGGCTTCAGTGGGAGCAGAGTCTGGCTATAAATCTTTATGTACTTACCTTCTAGATTAATTAGATTAATGCATACTTAAGATGCACCTTTTGCAGAGTAAAATAAAACTTAAAAATCCTTATGAAATGTAGTTACAGCACAGGAGAAACTGATTGAAATGCAGAATCTTGGTAACTTTTTTTTTTCCCAAAACCCAGGTGATTAGATCGTACTATGAACTCGTTGCTTTTCAACTTTTTTTTGCAAATGAAACTGTCTGTCTTAATGCTTTGAGCTTTATAAAATCAAATAAAACAACCCAAACTTCTCAAGCCAGCCAACTTTTTTTATATTCAAGACTCAAGAACCAGTGAACAGTTTGTTTTTGATATTGGAAAGAAAATTCTATTCTAAAAATGTCTGTCAAGTTTTGTTTGAATGAAAGTTTCCTATCAGATAATAACCCTATAAATAGTTATTTATAAATCTGAAATGTTAACATTGTAATGATATCTCAGTGGGACTACTACTGGTGTAAAGTTAACCAAGTGCTTAAAATTTGCTGGATTGGGACCTACAGTAGCATTAGTGGTCGCATTTAAATTAAAATGTAGTCCTCGTATTTGAGTTAAATTAAAGAATGATACATTGTCATGATAGAAAGTATTGTGTGTTTTCATTCTCCCTCTTTGGATCTTGTATTTATAGAAGATGGTAGTTCTGTATAAGAGCTATGTATTAGGCATTATAGTGTAGTTATGGTGTTTAGAGGTGCTGTTATTTGAGAGATTATTTTAGTGTATTTTTTTAGGAATAAATTATGTTACCTGTGTAATTTTTAATTTCATTTACCTTTATAAAATTAGGATAGGGTTTAGATATGTAAGTTAAATAAAAGCTGATCTAGAACCTGATCCATTGCCCATTAAAGTCAATAGGAGTCTTTCCTTTCCATTGGTTACAGCGGGCATGGTATAGGGTCCTTAGTGCTGTTGGGCAAGACCCTTGATACCTAAGAAATATATGGAGATGTTTGTGTTCTTCCCAAGGACATTTTAAAAATGTTCATACAAAGTAGGCTCAGTAAGCGGTGGCATTTGGAAAAACCCATAACATTTTAATGGAGATGGGGCTTTTCCCAACTGTATTCAGTAAGTTTTATGATGTTGGCCCAAGAATTGCAGAATGAAGAAACAACCAAGTCTTCCAGACTTGTCCTGGTGGGCATCTAGGGAGTATGATGGTCTCTAGATAGTGATACTAGTTATTTAGTAACCAACTAAGAAAACCAATCTTCCAAATGAGCTCACAGAGCAGAGAGGACAGTATTTAGGGTACAGAATGAATGAGAGGAGAAAGTATGACTGGAAAACAGGACCGGACACTCAGTAACATTTCAAAATAAAAATGTTAGAGTTAGTTTATACGCAACTTGAGTTTTCACAAGCTTTCTGAAAGAACTCCTATTTTTGAGCTTTGATTGAGGAGTTGACTTGCAAATGTCCCTTTCCAGGCCATAAAACCTCCTTCTGATTAACATTTTTTTTAACCTTACAAACAAGGCTAGTTCTCACAATTAAGGGCCAAATGCTGGTTTAGGTTGCACTGATAACAATTGTCTACAATGGAGTTATTCCTTGTTTCCACCAGCACTACTGAGAATGGAATGTCAACCCAGGTATTTAGATTCAACAATGTAATTCTGCTGTGGCCCTCATTACAAGACTTTGAAATTACATTCTGCATTGCCAGTTTGGATTTCTGCATACACTGCGTTCTCCAACAGCATCTCCTGTCATTTTGTTTGCTCTCCTGAAAAAACAATAATTTATATAAAATCACTTATGCACCATTTTAGGACTCACCCTGTTATCAATCCCCACTGACTGAAATTTTCCATGGACTTCAAGGGGAGTTCTGGGTGCAAAATGATTGCTGATTGGGCACAGTAATTTCGTATCGATATACTTTCACAGAAATTATTTCTTTTCTGAATTTTGCCAGATGCCTCAGATTTTAAAAGTGCCTGTATTAAGTAAAATTTAACAACAGACAATCATGTGAACACAGGTTTCAGAGTAGCAGCCATGTTAGTCTGTATTCGCAAAATAAAAGGAGTACTAGTGGCACCTTAGAGACGATCCAATTTATTTGAGCATGAGCTTTCATGAACACAGTTTCCTGCAAGACTGTTCTCTTGTCAGTCACAGAATAGAATATTTCTCTGGAGACCCAAATTATACACCAGAAACACTGTAATTTGTAACATTTTTTGTCTAAATAGATCTATTGAGAGGCAATCTGTGAGGCCACACGCTTACACTTAGGTTTGCAGGTCTTATGAGTTTTTAGGAGGAGTTTGCTTTGACAATGTACACTGATATATCACAGATGATAATCTACCATATCACCAGCTATTTGCCTCCTCAAAGTGCAAAGGTTAAACAATACCTAAACTCTCAGCTTTGATATCTGTGAACATAAAACCATTTCCCCGTCAATAAAGTTCTTTTACAATAGGAAGACATGTTAATAGGCTATAGTTATTATGAGGCAATTGACACCTTTGGGCATTAAAACTATATAGTCACACCTTGTAAGGAGCCTGTTGTCTTGGCTAGTATAAACTTATTACTTGGACAAAAGTCAAGTTGAGTTACCTGAGAAGGAAGTGCAGGATTGGGTCCACAAATACAAACCTAATTTTTATTCCTAGAACTTTATTCTATTTTGCCAAGTAATTTCTGTACAAAGGAAGTGACTAATCTGTTTTCATTATCTGTGCTGTGAAACATACATAAAGTACACAAACAGAAAAAAGTAGGAAACAATTATATTTTTAGATTCTTCCTATTTATTGACCCAAGTCAGGATTTTTCTTAAGGAACAGTGTTCTGGAGTATTATTCTTCTAAATTTTCTTATCTAATACAAGACTTTACTGTGAAGCTGAAATTATTAGTAACCAATACATATTTTTGTTTAATTTATACTTCTATAGGCTATCAGCTCACAAGATAGTTTCACAATATTAAAACAGGATAGACAATGCAGATGGTATGACACTTTATTTAGCATGGATACAATACTACAGTACTCCTAACAGATGCTGGGAAGATTAATATAACAGACACTACTGTCTTCATAGATCTGTGTCTGCTGGGAGAATTATTGTACCATGGACACTACTGTCCCAGAAGATGCTGTGAGACTTTAGGAGCTAAACCAGGCATTGATGGGAAAGTTTATGTAACACAGATGCTACTGTCTTCTCGGATCTGTATCTGCTGAGAGAACTGCTTAACCATACTGGGCATTACTGTTCCAGCAGATGCTATGATATTTTAATGACAACAGGTCCCACTGTCCCAGCATATCTTTGTTTGCACTATCACTGTTACAGATTGTTAGTATGTGTAACATTCACACTAATAGAAAATAGCGTAGCTAATGGGTGGGGATGGGGTGGGGGGGAAATACCTATATTAACAAATACTTATGGTCACTGTTACAAAGCTCAGTGGAACTAAGCCTCATTGTAGTGAAATATAATGTCCTTTACCCAAGTTCATTAGTAAGCCCTTTTGTATTTATTTTGTTGGAAGATGGATATTTGTATTGCCAAAGGTTCTAGGATGCTCAAAGTACTTCTGAGCCTCTAGGGGTGGATGGCCATGCAGTCATTCATTATGGCTTCTCACCCTGGGGATGCCTGTGGTCTTGACAGATTCCTGCCCCGCCCTGCCCCCTCACACTAGATACAAAGTAATGTATAGATCCTCTCCGTAGTTTTTATAGTATGTGCTGTTGGCTTGCAGAACAGTCCCCCAGTATCAATGATGAAAATATATTCAGTTTTTAAAAATTCCCAAAGGGCGGTTTTCTTAGAGAAATCCTGAAAATGCTACATTTTGTTTGCAAGGGGTTTTGTTTGTTTGTTTGTTTTTGTTTTTTTGTTTTTAGCGCAACAATTTTAGGACCCATCACAATTTTGAGTTTTGGGGCTTCCTTGTATTTGATTTTCCCTTTTGCAAAAGTGTAGGTATGATCACTACATGCCCCTTTTTTATCACCAGGCAAGATACGATAGAGCTGCTGCCATGCTTTCTTGCTATTACAGTAATTATTTCAATCTAGTTTTAGTGAAACGGCCTTTACCAGGTATGGTGACCCATGTGGCCATGAACATGGGAGATGTCACAGTTCTCAGGGCCTGTCCCAGGCACTTTATTAAAAAAAAGTGATTGTTCAGGTGTCTACATAATCTTCACTCTGGCCAGCTGAGCCATTGAAATTGA